CTCTCTCTCTCTCTCTCTCTCTCTCTCTCTCCCTCTCTCCCTCTCTCCCTCTCTCCCTCTCTCCCTCTCTGGCTGGCTGGCTGGCTGGCTGGCTGTCTGCCCGTCTCTGTGCGTCTCTCTCGCTGCTCGGTCTATCTCGCTGTTCCCGTCACCCCGTGCTCCCTGGTAGAAACTCGACGACGTCGAGGTGCATCCTTCCGCTGGGGATCACGATCGCGGCCATGGGGGTAGACACTCCAGGAGCGTCCTGTGTTGATGTGCTGGCCACGCCGGACTGTCAAACCTTGCTCACCAAGATCGAGAACGGCACGCTACCGCAATCGGTAGGAAGCTTGTTCTTGTTGTATGTTTTCTTCCTACAAGCACGTGATATCGTTTTTGTTCCGGTAACCCTCGTGCGTATACTGTGAAAGATGTAATCGTCCTCGACAGACGTTTGTGAGATTGTCGCCTTTTTGGAGGTGATCACACTTATTCATAGCATTGAATCGTTGCTCTCTCATTGGCTGGCTATATGACCGCTTTCTACGACGGTGTGAGTGCCGATGACTGTGTGCTGTCGTTGCATGGTTGGCGTCATTTATCGAGTAAGCTTTGTTGGTCTGTTCGCACTCTGCATTAGCTGCCGGTTGAGCTACTCCCTCGACGACTGGCAGTGCCACGACTCCCTAATCATCTGCATGTGTGGGCAGCACTCCAAGAGGACGCTCCACCTCGAGACTCATGCAACTCAGCACAAAATGTCTTGCCTGTACGATACCCCGATACCCGAACCATCTGCACACGACCGACCGATCGCAACAACCTCAGGACGAGCAAAGCACGGTCAGCTCCACCGCCTCCGAGTGTCAGATGGCCTTCGAAATCGCCAGGCCGTCGTTCTACAGCGACTGCGCGTGCGCTGACGTGCCTCCGATGACGGAGGGCTCTTGCACCCTGTCGGGCTACACTTACCAGCCGGAGAAGGACGGGGCGACGCCGTTTGCCCCCAGCTTTCCGGCGAGCAGCCCGTGGGTCACCTCGATTGGAGCCACCCAGGTAGACGCATATGTGCATGCGTTTCAATTTTAGTCCCCCCCTTGCGGATGTGAAACGTTTTGTTTGCCCAATCGCCCGATGGCATATCTGGTCTGGCAAGTCAAACGCCAAGGGTGATGCCCAGCTTCTGGCTCACCCTTGTGAAAGGTGGCCTGGGGGGGGGGGTGTACTCATAGTCGTGCATGCCGTAGTCGTTAGACCATTTACCTCGCATCCCTACAAAGCCGGGACGGAGCACGCCGGGTTCTCACCGGACCAGGCTCTCACATCACCAAGCGCGAAGCGCCGTGAGATATTCGGCGAGTCGCATGAAGGGTGCGCTGCATCCTGCTAAGGGTGTTCTGCATCTTGTGCTTACTTCCTTGGGTGCGGATGA